CTCGGAAGCTGCGACTGGCAGAAAAAGGCGCGGCGCCAAAGCGCACGCACTAGTGCGCAGGGCTCCCTCAAAAAAACCCTAGGCCCTCTAAACCTTTCAGCCGCAAACCACGAGAAGGGGCCTTTTCATGCCCTGAAAGCCTCCCCTGAACTTCAGAGATCCCCAAAGCCACCGATCTGTACAGTATACGTATATTCGAAGACGTATATCAATATCTGAATATATATATATATATGTATGTACAATAGATATATATGGATATATAGATAACAGATAGATAGATAGATAGATAGATAGATAGACAGATACAATACATAAATGATTAAGTAAATGAGGTAATAAGGATATAAATAACTCTCGCCCTCTCTCTATTTTTACAGAGCTAACTAAATAAGCAGGCAAACAAATAGACATGTGTCCATATATATATATATATATGTAACTCTGTGTGTGTGTATATATATATGAACATATGTATGTATGTATGTATGTATGTATGTATGTATGTATGTATGTATGTATATATATATATGTATGTATGTATGTATGTATGTATGTATGTATGTATGTATATACACATGTGTATATATATATATATACACACACATATATATATATATATCCATATATTTGTATCTGGACGGCCCAAAGCTCACGGCGAGGTCATGTCGTCGAACGGCCCTAGCCAGGCGCAGGAGCTGATGTCATCCGTGGACGGCTGAGCTTTTCAAAGGGTTTAGGGTTTCTTTAGAGGATTTCTTTAACGGATTTTTCAGGATTGTTATACGTGGTTTAGGGTTTACGGAGCTCTTCCCGTATTCGTAGATCAGAGTTACCCTTTCCGGCTCATGGCGGGTGGCTACGGATGTTGTTTTGAGAGGTCCATGATGTTGCGTCCATTACTCGGAGGTTTCGTACTTTGCAAGCTGCCTGTGGTGCTCTTCCGAGGTGCAGAAGGTATGCTACGCGCACGAGGGAACCCTGAACAAGTTCTTAATTGATGACAAGGGCATGCAGCGGCCCCAGCATTTGTGCCCACCGAACCATAGTCCTTGAATAACATTAAACCCGAAACCCCTAAACCCCTAAACCCTAAGCCTTAAAATTTTAAAGTAAAACCATCCTCGTCCCTTAAGCCCTAGGGCCACAAAAGCGTCCACATATGCCAACAACCCAGGCCCAGAGCTCTGAAGCTTTCGCCGTCTTTGCTGTATATATATATGTATGTATGTATGTATGTATGTATGTATGTATGTATGTATGTATGTATATATGTATGTATGTATGTGTACGTATGCAAATCTTTACATGCATATGTGTATGTATATGTATATGTATATGTATATATATATATATAGGCATCCATACATGTGCATATATTTATACACCCCCCTATTTTTTGTAGGTTTTGTTCCAAAGGCTCTTCCTCCTGGTCTTCGGCTTGCCGCCCTTGGTGCATCCAGATGACCCTGCGCGGGCCGTGCTCGCCAGCATGGAGCTGGTCCAGGCTGAAATCTGCTGCAGTCTCCTCCATTGTCGATGTTTATTGCTTTTATTTGGGCCTTTAGGACGTGGGGCCTTTCGGGTCCTTACACCCTAGACTGAAAGATTTAAACCCAGGTCCCTCAAGCCGACTGCCTACACCCTGGATCCGAAACCCTGAGCCGCAGGTCTTCAAGAGATTGGAGCTGGTGGGGCGGTTCGGGGTCACAACTGGCCGAAGTTACTGTGGAGTGGGTGCCCCAGTCGTTTGCTGGTTCACCATCACCTACTGGAAGGGTCTGAATATAAACCCTAGTCAAACATTCATAGGGTCCTTTCCACAAATTAGGTTCTAGCAGGTCCCGGTAGGCCTTCTTGGCACTGCAATTGAGGTCTGTGGAAGCGCCAAGCGCATGGAGTACACAGCTCCCCGGACATTTTCAGACCGTCGAACCGCAGCATTCCATCATTCCTCAAGACCAGTGCGGTTGTCTGCATTATAATATGTGTACTGCCTGAGATAGGATCAGAGCCAGGTTCTTGGCGACTGCGTGAACTTATCAGCACGGTTGATGGCATTCCCGGCACGCTTGGCCTTTGATGTGCTGTCCGTGCTCCATGAAGAGGATGGGAGGTCCCTTTTCTTAACCCCAAGAAACCCGGAGACTCCAAAACCCCTTAATTAAGGAATATACCTTAAATCATAATAAAAATCCTATTATAATTTAAGGTATATTCCTTAATTAAGGGGTCTTGGAGTCTCTGGGAACCCTGGCGTGGCAGGCTAATGCTCCACCTCTGGGAGTTCTGACAGATGAAGAGACCAGCAGACACTCGACAGGCGCTCCTTTTTTGGGTGTTTCTGCTTTGAGAATCGAAGCTGAGAAGAGAATTGAAGCTGAAATCCCAAAACCCTAAACCCGGAACCCTAAAACCTGGGCGATAAACGGTCCCTGCATAGAACCCTAAACCCTAGACCCTAAACCCTAAACCCTAAACCCTAAGTAGAGCCCGAAACCCTAAAGTTCACCTTCTGTTTCGCCGGGCAGGTGAGATTGACTTCAAGCCCCTGGCGCCCATCAAGGCCTGAGGGTTTAGGGATTGAGGTTGAGGGTTTAGGGTTTAGGGTTTAGACCTCTATCAGTAGGATCTCTGTTGGAGCTGACGTAGCTTCTTGCCCTGCTAGCAGCTCCCAGGTGAAAGGAAAGACAAATCCGATCTCAATCTTTCAGCCGACTCTGCGGGAGGCAGGGAAGATCTATTCGTGGAAGCCTGTTGATATTTGCTTATGGACAAATGCCTGCAGCACCTCAAGAAGCACCCTAAGCCACAGGGAAATTTGTGGCACATTCCTGTTTATGGATGACGCAAGATTGTTTCTTTATGCTGCAGGCAGCGATGGCAGTGGGTGCAGCACTTACCACTGCTTCTTACGCACACAGCCACGGCTCAGGGAAGCTTTGTGGCTCGGAATGCCGCTGGGTAGCCTTGCAAGGTATCACCGCGGATCGGAAGATCCGATTTCCCTGGTATGCCGCACCCTCAACAGACTCTGCTTGTGAGCGATCGTCCTTCCTGTTTCCATTCTCCTCAACGGACTCCAACTGCCCCCTGCACCGGAAGCTAGCCCCGTGCAGCTACGGCCCTGTGATCTACTGTGAGGCGACATGAATCCTTAAACCTGGCGGATGGGTCGCAACGGGTTGCGAAAAGCAACAACCCCGAATGCCTCTAACCCTGAACCCCAGCTGAACGTCAAACCCCTAATTAGGCCGTAATCAAGCGAATCAGGAACCCTTCCTAGAACCGTTAAATCTAGCAGTAGCCACACAAAGGACAGCAGAACTCCTACGAGTACTCCTAAACCTTAAACCCTAAGCCAGGGACCCGAAGACCTCAAGCTCACAAACCCTGAACCCTGAGCGCTTAAACCATGAACCCTGCGGTCTTAAACCCCCGAAAACCCGAAGCCCCTAAACCCTCCTCCTCTCCCCGCACAACCCCACAAAAATCCCAAACCCTAAAACCCATCCAAACACATCACGCAATCACAGCCTACATCCTAAACTCTAAAACCTCGAAGACTCAGAGGAGCCCTCTGGTAGCTATGAAGGCCCCAAAGAATTGCAGAACCCTAAAGGAGCCCTCTTCTCATTCACCCAGAACCCTATTCTAATGAACTTTCCAAGCCCAATAAACCCCTAGCAAAGCCTTGTACAACCTCCCATACAAGCAGCATTAAAACCGCAAGTCTAAGGCCTAGACCCTCAGCTTGAAACTAAACCACAACTACCCCTCAACTGTAACTCTTCAAAACCAGAAAAAAACCCTAAGCTTCAGCATCCTAAACATCCCAAAAACAGCCCCGAAAGAAGGACAACCTCCTGGACGGCTCCACGCTGAACTCCAAGGATGCCATGGCCACCTCGAAGCTCAAGGCCTTTTTTTTTTTAATATTTTTTTGTGTCATCATGCTTGTCTTTAAGAAGGTGTTTTGTAATAATGGGTTTTGGCTTTCAAACGTTTCTTGTTTAAGACCTTGGTAGGTTTTTTCTAGGAGTGGATGGGGCACTTTCTGCTTTGATAGGGGTTCGCAGGGCGTTTATAGAGCTTTAGGGCTTTCATCTTTCGTGGTAGGGGTTACTACCATAGGGTTTGGTTACTATACGGTTTGCAGTAGGGGTTACTACAAAAATCAAGGCTTCCATGGATTGTTCGTTTCCTGCCATGAAGTTTCGTCCTTCTGACAAAGGCTCAGGCCAGGCATATACACGTCTACGTACATACATCTTGCACATATTTCGCGTTTACATGATGCTTATGGTGCCGTCTTTGAATTATAAGTTTTTCTTGACCCCTTCAAGATCATGTCTATGCCTATGTCTAGTATTGTCCGTAAAAGTCACTCTAGTTGCTTTTGGCACTATTGTCAGTGCTTTCTCACTTTTTCGTTATCATTCTCTTCTTGCTTTAACCTTTCTTTGGAGATTTGTTCGCTCGTTCCGAAGTGGATTTAAAGATCTCAATATACCATTCACAAATCTTCTATAAGATCACAATACGACTTTCTCAGGGGCTTAAGTTGGGTTTCGCGCAAGGAAAGTTCGGATTGGCGGGTGGAGCTTCTGCCGTGCAAGGGGGGCTTCACAGGGTTTTCTGTTAATCTTGAAGTACATTGGCTTAAAACGGCACCAGAACTTTGATCCCCCAAAAACCTACACCTGCACTAGTCCCGAGGTTCGGTATGCACCGGTACGTAGGCCGTCCTCTCCTTGGTTTATTCAGAGATGTCAGCAGACGTCGATGCAAGACGCATGCTGTTCATGATGAATAGCATTGGGTCTTTCACATTGGGATTTCTTGAAGCGCCCATGCAGGTAATGTTTTATTGACAACGCTTCCCCAAACAGAGGCCATGTTGTATTCGTCTAGGATCTTGCAATCGTCTTCCAAGGCAGCTGGTCTGCGAACCCGAAGCCTTTAAGCCCTGAGCTTACCACCCTTAAACCTCAAACCCCCCCAGACTTTGTCACAGCACTTCCTTGAAGTCTTGGCCCTAGGTGCAGAGCCTGTGCTCTATACAGAAGTGGCCGCCGAATATGAAAGTCGCAGAGATGCTGGGAAGTCCTTTCAGCAAGGCATTTGCCAGACCGCTCTCAAGGGTTGTGCAGTTTTACAGTTTAGAGGTCTAGGCGTTCAGGCTTTAGACTTTCCGTGCTTGGGGGTTTAGGGTTGTTGTCGCTGCTGCTCTTCACATGAACACATCACGAGGCACACCGGTTCGACGCATGTGTGTTGTAAGAGGTAAAGTGTATTTTGCAGCTTCTTTTACGACGTTTTGCAATCCTACCACGAATGCCGCTGCTGCTGCTGGGCGTCGGGTAGGCCTTTGCATGACGGCGATGTGACATGAGCGCAGGCAGTATTGTAGGTGGGAAAGATGTCAAAGATCCGAGGAGCTAGTCCACCAGTACTTGTACCGCCAGGAACAAGAATATTCACAGAAAGGAAGGAGACTGTGCGCATTACAATTGCAACTGAAAGTAATGATAGCAAGAGCAAGATGAATATGTTAATATTGATCATCAAAGTTGCAGCCAGATACTGCTTCGTCTGAGGAATACGAGTTTTTATCATTCCAGTAAGGTATGCCTAGAAGGCAGTAATGAGAACAGTAGTCCCGGTTGTACTAATCATCTTCGCTGTCATAGTCATCACGGCATCGATCCCAACAACAGCGGCAGGGACAGATGCAACAGGAATAGTGCACAAGGCCCCTCAACCTTACACTTGGGTAGTTTTCTAAACTAGGGTCCCTTTAGGGGTCCTTTTTATAAGGGTGCCGTATTGTATTGGGGACCCAAAAAGGGAAACCTAATTTAGAGAACTACCCACTTACATCCTAAGCCTCAAACTTCCTTAAACGCCTGAAACCGTAAACCTAATGCTGGGAACCCCAAACCGTAAGACCCAAAGCCGATAGTCATATTAACTGTAGTATACCCTAAACCCCTGTCAAAGCTCTTCCTTACAAAAGCCTAGAAGCTATAACGCCCAATCAAAACCAAGCCTCAAAAACAACTCTAAGCCCCTATGCAAAGTCATCAAGCTGCAAACCGACCAAAACTACCGAATCTGTACTGTGTGGACAACTTTCGATATCCCTGATAAAGCCTATACAGCCTTAACCTGTGAGGCCTTGCACGCACCGGACCAAGTTGTCGGGGCCTCCACGCCAACCCCTCGCATGAAGGCGGAGCGGCGGGTCAGAAGCTAATTTAGTCATGAGGGCTTTAAGCGGGTTAATATTCTTAACACGATTTTTGCATTCTCAATTTGGTTTAGGCTTGTGAGGGTTTGTTGGTAAGGGGCTTGAAACAGGGGTTCGGGGTTTAGGGTTCGCGACTCCGGGTGTTACAATAGGCTTTAGCTCCAGGTCTAGATCTGCATACTTCCTTGGTTTCCCCTCCCAGAGGCTTTTGACGTTGCATGGCAAAGCCGCCCCCCAAACCTGAGATTCTACACCTCCAATCGCCCAAGAACGCAAGCCCTGAAGTGCAGGGCTCTACACCCAAGGCCAGCCAGCCTGATGCTCCAAGCCCCCGAAGACCTACATAAATCCCCACTGGGTTTAGGGTTTAGGGTCCCTAAACCCTAAACCCTATCGAATCTTAAATCCTACAGCTCCAGAGCGTGCAGGCTCCGGCAAACAGCCCCTTCGCCGAGGGAGGTTTGGTCGTCATCGAAGGTGCGAACGGTCGCGTCCTCGGGAGCGCTCAACTTGCCGCAGAGACAGGTTGCCACGTGTCGATCTGTTGCCACGACGTATCAACCTTTTGGACTTTTGTTGTTTTTTTTTGGAATGCCGACCTCAGCGACGCGTTAAGAAAGAACTATTGGAAACCGTTGTCTCCAAACTCGTGGCAGCAGCAGCAGCAGCAGGAGCAGTAGCAGCAGCTGTAGGATCAGCAGCAGCAGTAGCAGCAAGAGCGGCAGCAGCAGTGGCAGTAGCAATGGCAAGAGCAATAGAAGGGTTGTAGTAGTTGGGGTACTGGCAACGATTGCGACTGTGGCAGGGGGCAGTGCTTGTAGTGATAGTGGTAGTTATAGTGGTAGCGGTAGCGGTAGCAGTACAGGTCGTGGTGGTCGTGGGGGCGGTGGCAGTGGTAGCAGCGGTAATGAGGAGGAGGACGAGGAGGACGAGGAGTAGGAGGAACAGGAGGATGAGGAGTAGCAGCGGCAACAGCAGCAGCGTGAGTAGCAGCAGGAGACTTGATGTGGAATGTCGGAGGAGAAGGTGCAGAACTAGGACTCCGAGCAGTACACTAGCGGTCATCTGTGAACCTTCAGGCAGTCGGATGTTTGTCGTTGTGGTCCTCGTCGTCGTCGTCGTCATTGTCGTCGTCTTCGCAGTCTAACATTAGGGAATGTTGGTGGTAGCAGCATTATAGCCGGAAAACAGTAATGGCAATAGGAATCAGAACACTGATGAAGCATTCTTATCCGTCAGAGTACATGCATTCGTCACATGAATGCGGAGTTCCAACCACCATTCAAGCAATGGTGAATTAGTTCGTCATATCGAAAGATCATGGCAGCAATCCTTGCTGATGGTTCCATGATCGTCAGAATCCCTATTTTTTTCTGAGGTCTTAGTCTTGTATCGTATTTGTCCAAGTGGCGGTCATAGGAAGCCTGCAAGTATACTACAATTCCAGGTCTGAACCCCGCAAGCGACCTCGGACTCTCGGCCGCTTCTCAGGTTTGGGGAAAATCGAGCTGGCTGAGCACATCGCCACTCATTGCGCATTGCAGCCTCTCGGCGATGAGCATAGGCCTTGCTGCAGCGATCTACGCGATCCACCCTGGAGCCCTAAGCCTAAACCCCGAGCCGCTAGCCGCATGAGACCCGAAACCATGCTACCTTTTTACGTATGGTATCAGCTTCCTCCCAAACCCTCAACCCTTTCAAACTCTGAGCCCTTTCACTCCGCGCCCTCAAGCCCATCAGCCTCAAGCAAAACCTTCTTAAACCCTATCACCCTACTGCATCATGTATAGTATAGTATATATATATATATGTATGTATGTATGTATGTATGTATGTATGTATGTATGTATGTATGTATGTATGCATATATACACACAGACACATATAGCGCAACCGCGCACGGAGTCTACGCCCGAAATGAGCGAGACACATCTAGCGTAAGGCCATATATATATATAAACATAAACATAAACATAAATATAAATATAAATATAAATATATATAAACAAATGAACAAATAAATAAATACAGAAGGGTTCCCTTCGGTTGGGCCCAGGTTTCAGACACTGCCCGTCTTCGGCTCGATGGGCCCCAGGCACTGGCAATTCTGCTCCCACGCTCTTTTTGGGGCTTAGGGCTTCAAACTTCGGGGTTTGGGGTTCAGGGTTTGGGGTTTCGGGTTCAGGGTGCAGGGTTTAGGGGAGGCCACTTCTCTTGGACTACAGGTCTAATTGGGGCTTTACGAGGGGCTTTGTGGGGTTTCATGTAGAATGTGGGGTTTCGAGCTTGGGGCCTCTGCAAGCTGGGGGATCTCACAGGGAAGAGCCTCGTTTAGCGAAGCCCCTCCCTTCTCTCGAAAGCCAGAGACTCCCAAAGCCATCAGGTAAGACACAATTACTCCCATCGTATAGCAGCAATCCTTCATGAGGACCTTGTGATTATGTACGGGGTATTAAGGTGTTGTTTTATTCTCTCTCTCTCTCTCTCTCCGTCTAGTTTTTTCTTTCTTTTTGAAAGAGCCCCTGCAAATTGTGCTCCAGAGCACTGATAACCAATAAACCCTAAACCTTAAACCCTGAGTCGTCAAGCCTTAACCCTTAACCCTTATACACATCTCCGCGGGGGTCCCGTGAAATTCGGAGCTTCGCTTCGCTTCCTGGAGCTGTGAGGCCCGGGAAGTCCACCCGCATGGCCGTGGAGTTGATTCGGAGTTTGGCGCGGGGCCCAGTTATTGTTTTTTGTTTAGGGTTTAGGCTTTGGGGTTTAGGGTTTAGGGGTTTAGGGTTTATTGTGAAAAAGACCATGCTTGGCAAGGGGTAGTGTAGGATTCGTTCTTTGAGACTAGTTTCTGTAATATGGGGCTTTACCGGGCCTTGCTACAAGTAATTGGAATAGGGTGTTGGGGTATATTGTAGAAGATCGGAGGAATCTGGGGAACAGTATTACAATCGCTTTAGGGCGTCAACGTATATGGGTTGCCTGTATCTACCCGAGATGCTATGGTATAAACTCATCACATGGATGCATAATGATGCAACATCTGTACAAGCTCACACATGATATATATTTATATATATATATATACACATACATACATCTATATCTATACTTATCTATATATATATATACACACGTATACACGTACACACGTGCATACACACGTACATACTTGGATGACACAGGCACACACACACACACGTAAATATGTATGTATATATATATATATCGGTGTGTATATACAAATGCCTTTCTATGTTTCGTATACATATCTACAGGTATGTATGTATGTATGTATGTATGTATGTATGTATGTATGTATGTACGTATGTATGTATGTACGTATGTATGCATGTATGTATGTATATATACACATACACACATACACTTACACACACATATATATATATATGTACATATGTATATATGCATGTACATATATGTATGCATAGGCACATTTGTGTATTTGTTTTCTGTAGTGTACACACATATTCATGCACGTATGTGTACATATGCATACATATGCATGGACGTAGACATGGACAGAGGCACATACACGCATGCATACATATAAAGATATAGTCGGTACCACAGCAGGCCGCGGGTGTCCTAACAAGAAGTACCACAGAGATGTTGAGCACATGTAGCAGTGCATGAGTCAGTAGATAAAAGGGTCTGTGTAAGCTCCATGGGTGCTCAGGTGGGGGTTTATCGCACATCAAATCCAGCCACCCCGGCCGACGATGCGCAGGCATTGACCGCTCAGGGTTGAAGGGTTTAGGATTCACAGGGGCTTGAGTTTTAGGGGCGGAGGGTTTACGGCTTTGGCTTTTGGGGTTTAAGGTTGAGGGTTTAGGGGATGATGGTTTAGTGGTTTACGGCTTATGCGGGTTTAGTATATTGGGTTCTTCATGGTGCCACCGTTGTGCTCTGACGTGCTTCTCAGACGATACGTCGTGCTTCGTCTGTGTTGCAGAATCGTTGATGCACAGCATGCCTTGAGACCCAAAGCCGAAAGCCCAAAGCCTCAAAACCCCTAGACCCCAAAAGCCCTCAGCCATGAGCAGAGAAGCTACACGCCCTGGAATCCTTCATGCCAGGCTCTTGAGAAGCTGATGCCGGCACAGTATGCCGGAACCCAAGGGCATCAGAAGGGAGCGCCAGGAAAGACCTGTGGATTTTTCCGGCAAGGGGTTTAGGGTTTAGGGAGCATCAGCCTGTGTATATAGCTGCTTCCTCTTTCGCGTGAGACCCCTTGGAAATCCTCTTCTATCTCTAAAAAGGGGACACCGATGCAAAACCCTAAACCTCAAGTCCCAAAACCTAAACCCGAAGCCCCAAACATCCTACACCACAAAGTTCTAAACGTCTTCAGGCCAAGCCTCTCTATCTATCCGTCTGTCTTTATTTGTCTATCTCTCTACACTTCAGGCCAGCAGCATCGACCAGCTGAAGCGGCTTTTGGCCCACGAGACGCTGGAAGATACTGCCGCCACGCTCGAGGTCGCTCTGAAGGCGGCGACTGCAATGAGGGGTGTTTTTTCAGGGGCCCCTACTGGAAGATGTTTTTTCTGGGTTTGTACGAGTTGTGTAAGTAGGAGTAGGTGGTGTTGGTAGTAGGAGGAGGAGGGCAGCCGGAGTGGCGATGCTGATAGCTCCTGGTAATACACTCACAGGGCCTTCCTGTGGTGGCTGCACTCATGGCAGCCGCTGCCTATTCCTCGCAACGTCAACAGCAACCCATAGGCCCCATAGTAGTGCCATTTTAGGGTTCATATTTAGAATCCTACAAGGCAATCCCCAGAAGGAACAACTAGCAAAGGGTGTGTGTGGGTGCTGCGCAGGGTAAACTTCCCATGAGAATTAACACGCACACTCTTTGGTTCGAGACCCCTAGCTTCTGAAGCCTATCCGTTGAACCCCAATCCTCACATCCTACATCCTAAACCGTTACGGACACAGGTGATCATCTCCCTTCTTGCCGGACTCAAGAACAAGTCAGGACGTCTCGGGGTTGGTCCTCCACTGGAGGCTTAAACACAGGGCACAGCTTTGATTCCCTGCTGGAGCCCCCAGCCCTAAGTCCTTGTGCAACTTCTATGAACAGCCCATGAAACCCCATTCGCCAAGTCCCTGCCTATTAGGAAGCTTCGAATCGACGACCTAGCACAAAGCCTGAATAACCAAGCCCGGAAATCTCGCCACTTCCCTACTTCAACTCGTCATTCACTGTTAGAGCCGGAAGGGTTGCTATAGGACTTCTTAGACAGTTTTGCTGCAGCATGATGAAGGATTGAGAGGTCACGTATGGTTTAGGTTCAGGCTTTAGGGTTTAGGGTTTAGGGTTTAGGGTTTAGGGTCGGGGGGGGGGTGGCTCCACTGAATTTTTGCAGGGCTTGCATGGGTTTGGTTTCTGCGGCGCTGATACGTCTAGGGTTCAGGTTCGGGATTGTATACAGGATTGTAGGACTGTGCGGGCTCTAGAAGAGCTCTATCATGGTTTAGGGTGAGGCTTCTTTGGGATTTGTTGTAGCCTCAGCCCAAAATCCGAAATATCCGGTACTATAGATGTATTATTTAAGGAACCCTTAAGGAATGATTCGGAATGCTAATTCAACTCTACAGCCTCAACCAAAGCGGCCGCTCCCAAAGGAATTCTGGTGGTTCTGCAGTTCGAGCAGGCCTGGGCGCTCTTGGACATCGTACTTCCAGGGTTTGGGGGTTTAAGGTGAAGGGGTTTAGGGTTTAGGGTTTAGGGTTTAGGGTTTAGGGTTTAGGGTTTAGGGTTTAGGGTTTAGGGGGTGAAGGGGGGTTTTCAGGTTTAAGGGTTTCAGATTCAGGGTTCGGGATGGGGTTGAGGATATTCCACCGCTATGGCTTGTAACAGCGTCCAGAGATGATGATTCTTCTCTCCACGCCCTTGCTTCCTAGAGTTTGCTACAAAGGTCATGATCCAGTCGAGGGGCTTTGGTTCGTGTTGTATGCTTGATGAAAATAGGGTCCTAAATAATTACCTCTACTCATTATTTGGGCTCCTTATTATCGTTCTAGTATAATATGCACCTCCAAAATCCTATTCTACTTATTAAGGCCCCTACTATAGAACCCTATCATGGATCCCACATAGAACCCTTTAAGGCTCCCTTTAGCCCTAAGCCCTCAACCCTAAACCCTAAACTCGAGACCCTAAACCCTAAACCCTAAACCCTAAACCCTAGACCCTAAACCCTAAACCCCAGGCAGCTGCCCCAAAAACTCCGGTAGTAACCCGCCCCGAACCCCCAGATGTGAGCCGTCATCCGACTGCAGGGGACGAGCCTCTTCGAGAAGACTGCCAAGGATGACTTGGTCTGCTGCCCAGGTTGTAGAAAATAGTTTAGTTTAGTATAGTACAGTATAGTATAGTATAGTAAAGCATAGTATTGTATAATATTCCAAGTTTAGAACGGTGTAGTATAGTATAGTATAGTATAGTATAGTATAGTATAGTATAGTATAGTATAGTATAGTATAGTATAGTATAGTGTATATAGTATAGCATAATATAGCACAATATAACAGAATACGTTCCAATAATAGCATAAAATACCAGAGTCAAATATGTAACATAAGAACATAGTATACTATGGTATCGCATGCTATGATACACTATCGATCATTGTAAGTCATCCTCTGACTCTTTGGCAAGTGCTCCCTAGGGGGGATTATGCTGCTTGATAGGGGTAGGCATGGGCCTTGATTTTTTTGAGGCTCAGGGTTTAATGTTGCGGGGCTTAAGCTGCGTGGTGATGCGCGGAAGATGCTTCGGATAGTGGGGGCTGCATAAATGTACGTAGGGCCCTTTCTATAAATACGGTCCCGTCCGGGTGATGGCGGGGGCAGTGATGACTCTTTCAGTGGCAGGTTCCTCCACCTCCAAAGCCCCAAATCGTACACCACAAACCCTAAACCCAAAACATTCAACCCCGAAGCCCCTCCAAACTCTAAACCCCCGAGCCCCCCTTCCAAAACCCCGCCGAGGCCATCTTCTGGAGATTTACCTCCGAACTCAGCATCCTCATTGCGAAGGTGGCATGCCAACTGCTGGCATGGAGGGTATCGGGTTTGGATTTAGGGCCCATGGTTGATATGGAGATACGGGCTAACTTTGCAGAGCAAAATCCTGCATGACCGCAAATACCTTTATGATCTTTATGCTTTCGGAATTTCTGGTGTATCCCGGCCCCACACCCTAAACCCTAAAACCCCCAACCACACCCCTGAACCCCGCAACAAGCTCTAAAACAACCGTGCAGACATCCCAACCTCCCGACTCAACCATACTGTAACAGACCTTAACAACTTACCTTACTACTGAGGCCCTTATACTGAACCCCCCATGTCACCCCTTATAGAAGCCCCGATAGACCTCTTCTTGTTAGAACCCTTTAACTGGAGCCGCCAATGAAAGCCCCTACGGTGTACCCTTATGATGCTAACCCTTACAGTACCCCTTATCCTACCCCTTATAGTACCCCTTTATACGAACCCTTATAGCAACCCTTAAAGGAACCCTTATAGTAACCCTTAAACGAACCCTTATAGTAACCCTTAAAGGAACCCTTATAGTAACCTTTAAAGGAACTCTTATAGTAACCCTTAAAGGAGCTCTTCAAACGGCTCCATCTGCTGCAGGAGAGATCAATCAGCGGCCTGGTGCTTGTACGAGAGGCGCCTTCTCTTGACATCTACGTTTGGACCAGGGTATAGGGGACTTTAAGGGTTTAGGGTTTAGGGTTTAGGGTAGGTCCCTTCATGTGGGTTATAACTATAGATACCCAAAACAACCCACTTATAACTACATAAACGGTTCAGGGTTGTTAATGGGACTTGAGGGTTTAGGGTTTGGGATTCAGATCTTGATTGGGGTCCAGCTTGGGTTTAGGATTTTGGCTTCAGGGCTTTGGTTTGAGAACTTGGGTCTAGTCGGGGTTGAGAGGACCGGATTTGCAAGAACACAGCAACCGCGGAGGAAGCAATCCCTAAACCCTAAACGCTAAACCCTAAACCCTAAACCAAGGCACATCCCGAGCCCTGCCCCGCAGAGGTTTCAGCACAGAGTTTTGCCTGCGAGGCACGGTACGACCAGCAGTGTGTCAAAGACGCCGCTGCAGCCGGGACCTTGCTGACTCTCAAGGGCCTCAATGACCCTTGGCTGGCAGACCCTTCTTAGGGTTTAGGGTTTAGAGTTTAGGGGTTTAGGGGTTTAGGGTTTAGGGTACTTGAACCCTCCCTACCTATTGGTTTATAAGACCCCAAGCTCTTAACCCTAGAATTTGAAGCAAGCTTGGGTCTCCTCATGTGGGTTTCTATGCACCGACGGCACAAAGCGATGTAGTGCCGATGTCATTTGCGCGAAAGTTTCCTTGACTTTCAAGAAGAACCCCTCAGCTTCCAATCCGAAGCTGCTGCCAAAGAAACTCAAACTCCAAGACCTTCCAAAACAAACATACTATATTATACTATATTATACTATATTATATCTTATTATACTATATCATGCTATACTATACTATAACTCCAACCCGAAAACCCTTTCAACCAGGAAGAGCACATCCTTGAGTACATGGCCAACTACCTGGGCATCCCGGAGGAAGCCGTTCCACCGCCGCTGAGACGTTTCGTTTCACAGGCAGGGCTGGGGGAACCACCCTGATTCAGAAATCGAAACCGACTGTTGTCAGCGACTCCGTCCGGGTGTGCGAGGACCAGGGGGTTTCCAAATCTGAATCGGACAGTCGAAACCCTCCGTAGGAGTAAGACCACCAAGAATCCTCCGAAAGGCACGAGTCGCAAGCGCAGCATAACAGCTGGAACAGTGGGACTGGTGTTGTTAGTAAGAACAGCAACAGACAAGCGATAGGCAAGATTGAGCCATGATAAGCCTACGAAGACCGACCAGGTCACCCAGTCACACTGAGAGTCGTCATCGTGTTGAGCTACGATTGCGCAGATGCCGCTGCTACTCATGTGGCTGATGCTCCAGCTACTGCTACCTGCTGCGGCTCTGCTCTCGAGTGCTGCGATGCTGCTTCTGCTGCTGCTGCTGCTGTTGTCGCTTCGCGACGACCACCACGATGCTGGCCACCGTGACGACCTGCTAGAAGAACACCGACGACGGCAATACTGGGAGTCGCTGCAGCCACAGTGTAGTGGTCTACTGAATTCGAGGTTACCCGGAAAGCCGGGTACCCTAAACCTAAACTGATAAACCCCAAGCCAGGTGACCATGGGCAATCCGCTCTACATCCGTGAAACCTTGGACCAGCTCAGCGAGGAAAACGTCCTCAAGGCACCTTTCGGTGTTCGGGGTTTAGCGGTTTTAGGGTTCTGGGTTTTGGGATTTGGGGCCTTTTAGGGTTTAGGGTCAAAGCAACTCGAAAGTCTGCACCCTTCTTCAACCTTTAGAATAGGTGCCTGCAGTTCCTGTTGAGTACACTTACAGTAGCCTCTTGTAGAAGCCTCAAAGAAGCTACGAACTGCAAAGCTGTCCCAAAGGCTGCAGACCCCAGGAACATTTGGCTTAGGGTTTAGGGTTTAGGGAAACTTGAACGCCCTTGAAGTCCCTGATGTAACCACTGATAGCTCTCATGAATCCAGTCAGCCCAATTTTGAGAGTAGGGTTTCCGGGCCCATTATACCATAGTTATAATAAGGAACCCCCAAAATAGTATAGGTAATCCATAGGCTTCCATCAAGCTCTGTACTCTTCAGCCCTCCGCAGTTGAAGCATCGATTCACTTCGCAATGAAGGAAGCATTCTCTGAGTTTCTTCCGGTATGCCGGGAGCTTCGGGTTTTTAGGGTTTCGGGTTGAGGGTATTTGGGATTTAGGGCTTTAGGGTTGGGGGTTTAAAGTGATGCTTTTGTGCATTTGGTTCGTGGCTTTGTAGGTGCCTGTAGGAAGTTACGGGTTTGTGTTGTTCATGGGCCTAGATTTTCGGGTTTTTGGGTCTCGGGTTTTGGAGAAGAGGTTGAGTTCGAGGAGGCAAGTGGTGGATGTCGCATTGGACAGTGCATGGCGGGTGATAAGTTTCCAGCTTCTCCGGCGCTGCTTCGTGTCCGAAAGTCAGGGCCGCCAGGGTGTGTGCTAGCTGAGTTCGACACCTGTTTCTCAGTCTCATGCATTAGCATCAACTTGCGACACTTCTGCACAACCTTCATCTTGCCCTCAATGCCTTAAGGCCCTCATCAATCCCCTTAAAAGCCCCCTACAGCCTTACAAAACTCCCCCGCAATCCCATCGCTGGCGCAGGTGAAGCCTGGCACCTCAGCGACCTTGATCGGGGCGCTCGAAAAAATAGACATCTCTGTCCGGGCCCAGGGTGGAAAAGTACATTTAGTAGGTCTGATGAAACAGCAGCAATAGCCCCCATGATAGGCCTGATGTACCTATAGCATAGAAAGACCCCAAAGCCTATTCTAAGTGTGTAGGCCCCTATATTGTTGGCTTTGAAGTTAGTATGAGAGAATTTGGAACCCCGTCGAAGAGTATACCTGCGAAAACGATCTGATCTGCAGTGTTGCTGTGCGGAAGTCCCTGTGTCACGGACATCGAACGGTGGAAGTTTGTAGTCGTTTGACCTTTCCTTCCATACTGCATGATGGTGCCAGATGCCGTCAAGTCACCTAATTCCCTAGTTGCTGACCGTCAAGATGAGCCCAGAAGTTGCATTCCGAAGCTGTGATCCTACCGTAGCAGAGAAGCATCGGAGTGTTGAAGGCCGGAAGAGTCTGGCGCTAGCAGTTGCTCACTGCTAGCAGTGGCACTCACCCTGGTGGTGGTGATAGTGGTAGTGATCGTCTCAGTAGTGGTCGTGGTGGTTTTGACGACGGTGGTCTCGCTGTTGTGACACTTTGTTGCTGCTGGTAAGCGTATCAGCAGTGCGAAGACCTTAAAAACAGAGCAAAAGGTAGCAAGCGTAATTGCAATCCAGAGCCCACTCATCGCGGCTAAGACTCCGATGTGAGCCGATGTGCTCCGAAAACCGTGCTCACCAAGATGCGCAGGTCCTCTCTCTTGCCCTTTCCCCGTCCAACCTCTAGTCCCAGCAGGCACTCTCGCAGCCCTGAATCCAAATCCTAAGCCCTAATAACCCCAAGCAAACAGCCCCACCACAAAGCTTCAAACCCTGAGGCCCGGCTCAGCACAAGCCAGGGCCCACCTCTGAAGCCCTAAGTCCCAAACCGAGGCCTGGAACCACACCGCCATGGTGGGAGGAACGGTCTGTAACATCGAGTCCCTGGACCCAATCGAGGCACATAAAGCTAGGGTTTTACAGGTCTTCTTAGGGGTGCTTCATAAGCATGTAGTAGGGTTTCGTAGGGCACATGAAGTAAGGTAGGGGGCTAGGATTCTGGGGGTTTAGGGTTAAGGGTAGGTTTCAGGGTTCAGGTCAAAGGTTTTGCGGTTTAGGGTTGTCGGGTTCAGGGTTTGAGGTTTGGTTAATTTGTTGGAAGATCCCCTCGCTGTCCACAATTTAGTATTATCAACTACAAGATACTCCCGAAAGCCGATCCTAACAATTGAGGCCTGCCTCTCCTGTCTGTCTGTCTGTCTGTCTGTCTGTCTGTCTGTCTGCCTGTCTGTCTGTCTCTCTCTGTCTGTCTCTCTGTCTTTGGTTTTGTAATTCTTTTTTCTCTCTCTCTCTCTCTCTCTTGTGTATATATTTATACACAGAAATATAAATAAATAAATAAACAAATAACTAAGTAAAGACATGAATAAATAAATCAATAAATATAAATATAAATATACATAAATATACATAAATAAATAAATAGATAAATAGATAAATAAATAAATAAATCAATAAATAAATGAATAAATAAATAAATATAAATGAATAAATATACATATATATATATATATATATATATGCAAGGAGCCCTAGTTTAGCTACTATAGAGGCCTTACTAATTGCCTATATACTTTGTTGGGGTTCCGTATTATAATCATAGTATAATATACACCAAGACCCTATTCCAATTATCAAGGCCTCTACAGGAGGTAGCTACAGGTATAGACAGTGTGCATGCCCTTATTGTTGGTGTCTGGCTCGGTAGTTCAACGGTTTGACGCCTGGATCAACGGCACAGTCCTTGTGTTGGTCGTTGTGGCAAAAGCTGTGGTGATAGCAGCAATGTTAGCAGTAGCAGAATCAGTGACGCGACGTGGGTAGGAGAGCAGGAGTAGCTGTTGTGGTAGTAGTCGCCGTCGTAGTCGTAGTCGTCGTCGTGGTGGTAGCGGTAGTGGTAGTCGCGGCAGTGGCAGCAGCAACCCACCCAAGACGCCGCCTTTGCTCGGCAGATGGCGGCTTTGAAGATGTCCACCTGCTTCGAAGGGCCCTTCACGCTCCCAGATCTGGCAGCAAGACGGGCCCTCAGAAGCTGGGGCTTACAGAACCGGCCATTCGGGGCTTGGGGCTCCTTCAAAAGGTTCCTTTAATTCCCCCTAAGGGTTACTCATTGGTTTAGGGAGTTTCGGGTTTGGGATCTTATCCGTTTTTCCTGGTCCGATCCTCCCTGTTGTTCTCATTGTTGCCCGTTCTTTTTTGCTGTGCCGAGCAAGCCCAGCGAGGAAGATTTCCAGTACCCTCCTCCCCAGGCCCCCGGTCCGCATAAATAAACCCCTAAACCCCAATCCGCTGAGAACCCTAAACCCTAAACCCGAATCCCCTTAAAACCCGACGGGCCCACTTTTGGGCTTTGAGCCCTCGAGGCAACTGCTCGCAGTGGGGTGGGTCCACGCACTTTGACTTGCCTCCGCCTCAAGTGGCCCCGGTCCGCTGGGTTTAGAGCTTAGAATTTAGGGTTTAGGGTTTAGGGTAGGATTTAGGGTTTAGGGTTCAGAGTCCTGGGCTTGGGGGTTGGGATTTTAGGGTTTCGGGAGGTGCAGGGTTTTAGGGTTTAAGGCTTTGGGGTGTTTTGGGGTGCTAGTAGCGAGAGAAGGAACGGTTGACTCCCTGGTCATTGTCGTCATAGCTCCGAACCCCATGCAGGCACAAGGCGCAAACTTCAGTCACAGACACAACAGAGATTTTTGAATAACTGTATCACCGCATTATTGAATTGTCAAGGCCCCTATATTGCTCTCGTGGTAGCAGTATCACTACGTGCCAAGCAAACATGCCACTCACAAGGATAATGTTCGTAGCTGTAGAGAAGTGGCAATAAAGCAGGGTACTGTGAAAACTTATGTCGGCCACTCTGATACGGCTTCTACTCCTCTGTCTCGTGCCGGTGCTACTTCTCGTACAGAGACAAACTCAGCTAAACAAAGCAGTCTACTGGCACACCACAGTTCAACAGTCACGCTCGGAATCATTCCTAAGAGTAGCAGGCACGGCTTTAGAAGCACCAGTAGGCCGTAGGGCTGGTGATGAGAAGCAGATGTCTGTGTAACATCAGCGCCTAGACTGGGGAGCTTGGCCCGATGGCCTGTTTGTTTCAAGGGCAGTTGCAGGACTTTGAACCGCATCACGCCTGCTCGGATTGTAGCGGAGCTGAAGCACCTACAGCAAAGGCATCAAAGCTACGAGAAGCATTAGCCAAGCCACACCACCATGACAGCACAACACTGAGGTTGCGCCTCTTCAGAGCAACCAGAAAATTGGTGTCCAGAGGCTTCATAGACAAGGCACCTTGGCTTGGAACTTGGGACATGGTGTAAAAAGGGGCCGAAGCGCATGGTTCTGAGACAAAGTACCACTTTCGTGTCGGACGGATCCGCTTTGCATCCTCGAGCATGCTCATCGTTGCATCGTCCCTACCTTTACTCTGTGGCAGTTCTGACCCCGACTGTCGTAAATCCTGGCCTTCAGCCCTGAAACCCGATACGCTTCGCTGACCGTCTGGGTGCGCATGATGATAGGCTGTGCCATGCCCGCTGGCGAACGCTGGCCAGGAAAAGCGAAAGCTCCTAGCTTTCCAAACCTGCATGGACCAGCTGTTCGGTAGGGGTGTAGATGGTCAACAGCAGCCCTAGCTGTGTGGCCTTTCTTACTGAAAGCTAAACCCTATGCAAACCCCTGAATCCCAAACGTTAAGACATCAAAGCCCGATGCCCCACAAGCTCTGAATCCTGATAAAACTTAAAGGAACCCTACACAGGCCCGTTTGTGGAACCTTATACGCCCTTACAGTAACCCTTACAGCAGCCCCCTATAAGAAGCGCCACGAGTGCTCAAAACATGGGGGAGGGTTCATGGCCAGGGATCCAAATTTCAGAGCCTTTGCGCTAGATCTTTTTCTGGAAGAGCTTGAATTGGCGAGACCGAGCGTGCAAGCCCAACACTACGCTCTGCAGCTTATCAAAGCTTACTAGAAAAGCGCATCGAACGAAGTGATCCTGCAAGACGCCGAAGTTTTCCTGTCGAAAAGAGATCATCAGCTGCTGGCTGCTCGTCTACAGCGAGTGGACGTGACAGCGGTTCCTGTGCTCGACTAGATGGGCTTCAGTGTTTTTCTTGGGCTTTCTACCTCCCCATTCAGTACTGACCCTTGGTATGCGGAGTTTCACAGCTTCCAGCCGGAAACACAGGACGCTGCTTCGCATTTTAATCATGATCAAGATTACTGGGTCAGGACCTCGACCCGGTCCCAAGTCCGGGACCGGCATGACAAGATAGGACTCTTAGGAGGTGCAAAACAAGCCGGTGGCGTGAGGGTGGGCGTATCTGCCTCAGGAACGTCTGAAGTCTCCTCTTTTGAGGGGTCAAACTATGAGGAATCCGAGCCGAGGAAGCGGACATCTCGGGACAGAGTGCGGAAACGATCGTACATGAGGGCACGAAAGCGTGCCGCGCGCGAAGGCCAGGCTGCGTACAGGGGGCAGATCATCAAGCTTCGACGGGAGTTTGTACCGGTGTCTCCAAAACCGGCCATGCAGTCTTCAAGGGCACCTAGAGTGGAAATGATCACATGGAATTGCTCTGGTCTAAGCGAGGAACTGTACCAGGAGTTCTTGTGTTGGCTGCCGACGCAAAAAGACTTGGCGGTAGTGCTACTGCAGGAGACGCACTGGGGGCACACGAGTGAATGGCGGCGCAATGGATGGTATTTCTGTCACAGCGCGTGCTCTCAGAAGAGACAGGGCGGGCTACTGATTGCCATCAGCGAGCGGGCGACAGATGGTGCGACCATCCGCTGGAAGGACCCCATCCCGGGTCGACTGATGCTTCTGCGATGTGTCATGCAGAAACAACAAGTGGACATCATCAACTTGTATCAGCATGCATACAGCATGAGGAGCTCCGAACAACAAGCCAAGCTTATGTCGAAGCGCCTGCACCTGTGGAAAGAGCTGGACAAACTACTCGGTGAAATTCCATGGCGGTCCATGCTGGTAACTGCAGGTGATTTCAATGCAGTTCTGCGCCCAACTCCGGGCGTAGCGGGGTATGGAATACACCAAGGCGGTCAGCAACCGGACGTGGTGGCCGACAGAAGCCAGCTGCTACAGATTCTGGCCTCCAAAGGGCTGTGCAGTTTAAACACCTGGGGGAGAGCGGCATACACGTATAAGCATCCGCAGGGCGAGTCGCAGATTGATTACATCTGTGTAAGACGGGCGGCCGCAGATGGGGTGGCGAAAAGCTGCGCACCGGAGCCTAGCTTCCTGGCAGGGTGGCGCTCAGCTGGGCATTGCATGCTGCGAGCGCAAGTTCGACTACCATGGCGACCCTGGCACCAACATACTTCGGGGCGCACTGCCGAGGACAAGGCTGAACCAGAACTTCCAGAAAGTTTGGAGCAGGCCGGGTCGTTGGACAAGATTCAGGGCTGTTTGCGGCGCGATTTTCCCAACCCTAAACATAAATGTCCTAGACAGCCACACATTGATGTTGGAGAGGGAGTCGCGGTCTACTGGCGGTTGAAGAAGCGATTCAATCAAACCTCGGGAGTGCGTGTGCAACACGCATGTTTTCGAGCCTTCAAACTTCTGTGGGAGATGAGATCTGCGCACAAGGAGCTCCGTAAGCAAGTTCGGGTAGCTAAGAGAAGAAGGCTACTGGCTGTTCTTAGTCAGCGGAGCATGCCGCTCAACGCGGGGACACGCGTGACCTATACCAGTACATCAGACAGCTGGCGCCGAAGCGCGAGATGAGCAAACTTCGGCTTCGCAGTCCCCAGGGTCACCTCATGACACCGACCGAGGAGTGCAAAATGCTGCGGGACTATGTCAAGGAATTGTTCGATGGAGAGAGATTCGAGCTTCCATGTTTGAGGCCACTGCCGCAGGGTTGGTTTGATGAGGGTGAGTGGAAGGAGGCTTTACAGCGCTTGAAAACTGGTAAGGCTGTTCCGTATCAATCTGCTGAGGTTGCGAGTTGGAAACAACAATCCTTGGTCATTGCACCCAAACTGCAACAGATATCATTGGATACACTTACCGGCTCCGATCCGCAGATACCGGAGGAGTGGTGCCTGGTTCAACTTGCGTGGTTACCCAAGCCTCCCAAACCCGCTTGTCAACCTAGCAATCTTCGCACGGTAGGACTCATGTCGCCGGACACAAAAGCACTACTGGTTATCATCAAGAAGCACGCCAATCCATATGTTCAGGAGAGGCTACGGCAGCATCCGCAATATGCGTATCGACAAGGAGCCTCCACCGCAGATCCCATACTTCGGGGCAGTTCGCACTGTAGCTCTGTTCGGAAGGCGCTTGCGTTATGCTCGACGGATCTAACTTCGAAGATCTTGGCCAAGGCGCAGCCACAGTTGTGTGGGGGGCTGATGCTCAGTTTGGACTTACATAAAGCCTTTGACTCTTTGGCCTTTTCGGAGATGTACTTGGCGCTCATTGAAACCAACATGCCAGAACCCCTTGCGAGCTTAATCATGCATATTCATTGCAAGACGAAGCTCATCATCAGACATGGTGGAACATCCATGACGGTGGCAATGAAACGTGGACTTCGACAAGGGTGTCCAGTTGCGCCAATGATTTACGCGGCGTGGACTTGCAGAGTCTGTAGGTTGGTTAATGAAGCACTGGGTAAGAACTGGACGTCCAAATGCTTAAGCATCTACGCTGATGATAAACATTGTTTCTGGTCGCTTCAGTCGGAGAATGATCTCAGAACAGCACTGCAACAGGCGAGCCAGGTAGTACATGTTTTGGGGCGGAGTGGCATGCAGGTAAACTTCAGCAAATCCGCAGCGGTGCTCATGCTGCGGGGAGTCAAGGCTTCGATCATGCAGGCCCTGGTCACAAGAATCTGGAATGGAGTACATTGCTTGTGCCTGCAGGGGGAGAACACGAAGCGGAGCATCTACATTCCCTTGAAAGAGGAGCTAGAGTACTTGGGGGTGGTTTTGTCCTACAAGCAATTTGAACAGGCGACGGTGCAAGCTCGTGGGAAGCGCGCGGACCAGATCTTCAGCACTTTGAGGCCGGTTCTGAGAACGCAGAGTGTTCTGAGCACTCAGCAGAGATTGCGGATATATCGTGCTTGTGTCAGTCCAGCGCTGTACTATGGCATTGTGTCGATCGGAGTGACATCCTCGGTGGTGAAGCAGCTTGTTTCAGTGCAGGCTCAACATCTACGTAAACTCCTACGGGTAGTGGAGAAAGGGGTCACCAATGAACAAGTTCTTGAACGTGCGAACATTGATCCGAGACATGAAATCCAGCAACGAGCACTGCAGCAACTACAGGCCGTGGAAAATGATCAACATCGAGATCCCGTACTCAGGCAGCTGGAGCACAGGCGGGCAAAGGACATAAATGGTGACCTATCCCAGCTTTGCTCTCACAAGTCGACTGGTACCTTGATTCCAGTACCTTCCAGCTTGGCGGTGCCGCAGGATTGCCCGGTTTGCGGACAGACGTTCAATGGGCAGCACAATCTGCACATGCACATCCAGGCCAAACATCCGGAACTCAATCAAAGGGCTAAGATTTCTTTTAATAGACGGGATCATGCGCTGTTCGGGCTGCCTTACTGTAGGTTTTGCAGAGCACGCGTGTGTGACTGGAATGCGCTGGCGAAACACGTGACGCAAGGCATGTGTCTGCGCCTGAAGAATGGTTTTGCACAGGCCAAAACCCTGGACGAGATCATGAGGGAGGTCATACAGGAGGAACAGGCGCATCCACCAGTACCACCTGCAGATCACATTGACAGTACCATTCCAGTACTTGCCATCGAAGACCTTTTCAGAGTGCCGGTGCATGAAACTACGAATCTGGCAGCACAGTACCGGTCCTTGATGCAGCAATGTGCCTTATGTGGTCAACGAGTACAACAAGCATCCAAGCTCAAGACCCATTGGCAAAAATATCACCCGCAGGCTTGGAAGTCATCCAGGCGCATTGCGGAAGCGGAGGCTCGGAGTATGTGCGCCACATTTCGGTCTCCGTGCGTCTATTGCACTAGTAAGGTGAAACATCCAGGACAACATGCAGCCAGATGCTCGGTTTACTTCCAAATTGCAGCGGTGCGTTTTCTGCTCACCAAACAGGACCCACTGCAGATCGCCACGGTTGAGAAACCACAGGAGGGCAAGCAGTGGGAGAAACCGCCAGCATACCAAGAGTTTGCTCTGGCAGGAACGCCATTGGGCAAAGCCTTCGCCACTACAGCAGCTCAGGGACAGGCGCAAGATGCAACTCTAACTCGCGATACCACCCTGAACACAGTCGACAGATCGGCTACTACCTCTGTGATTATCGAGAAGTCGGGGTCTGACACAGGCCTCAGGGCGACAACAGCTATGACTCCAGCCCAAAAAGCCTTTCACAATCTTTTTCAGGCTCGCGGAAGCAGCTCCTTGAAGACTACGGGAGCAGAAGGTTCGGCCCCTGAAGCCTTATCGGAGTCGGCGCTTGAACTATCCTGGACATGTGCGCTCAAACTCCGAAACACAGGCAGCCTCTGCTACGTGAATTCCGGGATCGCGGCACTTCTTCACACCTACGAGGCAGCAGAACAGAGTCCACGCAGATTTCATGGATTGCAGCGTGTTTGTCGGCAGGCAGCGGAACAGGGCCAAGTCATCAGTCTACATCAGCAGGCCTTTTTCGTTAGGCTTTGTGGAGCATGGTCTTTTGATAATCGGCAGAAGGACACGGCCGAGTTCATACATCATGTCATCGAGGAGGCGGGTCTCGTGCATGTTATTTGGGATCAACGCACACATGTAGCCGAAGGTCCTAGACTACTTGATCAAGGTGGTCTTCCGATTCCGATGCAGCTTCCGCCCGAGGCTTGTTCTTTACAGCAGGTAGTTACAGCCTGGTACAGACGTGGTTGCTATAATGCGGTGGTCCACACGGATGGCATTGTTGCTATACAGCTTGGCAGGTTCACAGGAGCCAGAAAAATCATGACGCCGATCAGCGTCGAGGACTCAGTGATGCTGCCGATTTTTCAGGAGGGCATCAACGTGAGATGGGAAACATTCAAAATCACAGCGGTGCAGGTACATCTCGGCCACAGCCCTCATCAGGGACATTATCGCAGCCTCCTACGAGTCGGGACCTCATGGTACTATCAAGACGATAATAGGATCGCTGTGCGCACGACTTTTGGTGCTATCCACAAGCGGCATGGATATGTCGTCTGGATGGTTAGGGCTCAAAATTGAGAGATCGGCGTCGCCCACCGGCGAAGCTAGCTGCCATGACTGTCTTTGAAGCACAGCTGGACTCTGAAACCATGCAGGATATGGAGCAGATGTTCTTTTCCAAATACCGTCCAAGGGGACCTCCGCCTGAGAACCCAGGGGCAGAGGAAGGGGAAGCATCGTCACATCCAGAGGATCAGAGAGGTGGCAGCTGGGCGCGCACCGACAAGGACGGGGCAAACGGAAAGCACAATGGTCGTGGCAAAGGCCGCAACGACGCTGCTGCGAACAAGCGCAGCCCTGCGCGCTGGTCTTCCGACTCGACATCGTGGCAGAGGCAGTCATGGAGCGGCGGCAGCCAGGAGGTGCAGGAGCTAAGACAAAGCATGCAGCAAGTACAGCGACTTCTTTTAAGGCACGAGGACGACCTCAATATCATCAAGGCGGATCACAGCTTCATGATCTTCATGCGGGTGAAGGGAGCTTGCTCGATTGTTCAATCGGTGTTTTCTGCACAGGAGGAATGGAGGACCATAAAGTCCAAAGATCCCTCGAGTCTGAAAAGACCCATGAGGGTGGCTCTGCTGTGTTGCATTTTCAAAGAACTTGGGGAGCGACTGACGGGGCTAAAAAGTCCTGAACAATCGGAGGCTCTGGATTCCCTGAAGACCTTGAAGTGGCTTGTGCCCACGGACAATGTGGAGGATCCCAGCTGGGCATACCTGGAATGGAATGCAACGGCGCAGAGGTTGGAGCCGGACGGGAATCGCGCGGGCCTCGGCTATGTGAAGACGATTGCGGTGATCCAGGCGGTGCTCCAGTTGGTTTCGTATGAGAGGGTGGTTACCTCGTTCCATCCCACGCGGGACCTCGTGGCCAACATGACGGGGGAGTCTGTGCCTTTCAAGATGATGTTGAACTCTCGATCCCAAGAAGCTTCGGTTCTACATGGGTACCTGAAGGAGCTGTCGGGGTGCGCTGCTTTGCAGCTCATCGGCGCTACGCTGCGGCCCGAAAGACCGCAGAGATCAGGTGCAGCCCAAGCCATTGCGAAGCAGCTTGGATGGCGCTGATGGCGCCGATGCCGAGCCAGCCGACGGAGGCAACTTTTCTTTGCTATGCGGAGGGGCATAGCATGCAGCACCACAGCAGGACCGAGGGATGCTGAAGCGTTTTCCCGATCAGACTGCAGTTGATGGCATGCGACCGCGTGCAAAACAAATGCTACAACTGCTTCTTGAAGGTTTTCATTGGCAACTGTGAGCGTGACAGTGGTGTCCTGAGGTCAATTTCGACTCGCTGTTGCAACGCCTGGCATGAGTGTTCGGAAGCTTGGCCGCGTCCTTGCGCGCGCGAAATGAAGACGCGAGGATTCTGAGAATGTGGCGGTAGGTCTGTCATGTGCTGCAGGAGTTGGTAGTGCATTCTGTAGTGATTTCTTGGAGAAGGCCGTGAGCTGGCGCAAGCGGAACGGATAGTGCAGGCATGTACAAGGCTGCTGAGTTCAGGGCAATTCATGGGGTGCATCCCTACCGTATGTCAGCGCGTGACTTCTACAAGCTGCATGGCTTCAATCAGCGAGCTGCGCAAGACATGGGCATGTACCCGGAGGATGGCCCAGGGCTGTATGAGCACACTCCCATTCCCAACAATCCGACATCAGATGCACAAGCATGGCCACATTTTGAGGTGGGCAGTTTCAAGCTGGACAGGGCATTCATTCCCAGTGAGGCACCCGAACAGGAGCTGGAGAAGATAGCAAAGCAGTCTCTAGACAGTGGATTCATTTCGTGGTTCACCTTACAGGACATCCTGGACCGTCTGCCTTGGGATGCTATGGAGAGGGGCACAGCAAGTAACGAAGATCATGACATTCACCAGCCTAAGTGTTTTACGGTTGGAGGTTATGCGCATGCTGCTTTTCATGGCATTCGAAAACACACGATCAAATTCCCGTGGGTGACGTCGATGCTGACCTCCATCATTCGGGTGCTTAGTCCGGGCCACAGATTTACTACTATTGCTATGGCGCGCAATGTGATGACAGAGATGCACAAAGACGGGGGCAACGAAGAATGGTCAAGCAACTTTATAGTGCCTTTCTCCGAATTCATTGATGGTTTTCTGTGGATTGCTAAGGAGCAGGGAACAGTGCAGCTTGAATCGGATGGGCCGCGTGGGGTCTTACTGAACACAGCTTATCCACAGTTCTTCAACCCCCGGCTTGCACATGCTACCATGCCCTGGCGGGGACAGAGATACATGTTGATTGCTTACCACGTCCGGAACGCGTCCAAATTCAAGCTGGATCACATGCTAAAGTTGCAGAGCCTTGGGTTTAAGCCGCTGCTCTCATGTGTCATTGATGTGACGGCTGAACATAGAATGAACGCAGCTTTACGTGGACTGCCCTCGAGTTTGGAAGCGAGCAGAAGCTCCGGGGATTAATGGCCCAGAGCAACGGAGGATGTGCTAAGGACCTGCGACAAGCTTCATCCGTGATGAATTCCAGGACTTAGACCAAGGTCTGTTCGGAGCTTGGTGCAGTGATCGCAGTTTGCCTGTTGTGGACGCGCAACATGCAGTGCCTCTCATGATTGGGAATCCGCACAGTTTTCACAAGTGTTTATGACATTTTTCACTCACATGCTTGGCCCTAAAGGGGCGGTGTGAGTGATGCCGCACTGCTTGGGGCTACGGCCCGGGTGTGGCAAGTTAACACGTTTTGTCCTCAAGCTGTCCACGGAGATGGCCAGGCCAAATGCCTGAAAGAGGCGACGCCGAACATCAGACGATGAGCGCGAATCGGAAGGAAGGAAGGAAG